ATGTTCCTGACAGGATAAGTTGGGGAATCCTGGACTGAAAGAGAAGAGACCGACTGGGAATCCCATTCCACCCTTTTCTATGGGGACTCCTCCACTGGACAATGTTGAGGAAAGTGAGAGTCCTGTGGTACCCAGGGATGGTAGCAGCCTGGAGACCGAGGTCTCAATACCAAAAGATGCTCAGTACCCATGAGGAGCGGGGATTCCAACTCACTTGTTATGAACAGGTCCCTCACGTATCCAAACTGTTGCAGTATCAAGCAGGGAATCGGTACCAATGTGGTAGCTGAGGAAGCAGTAGCTGAAGCTGATGATAACTTTGACGGCAGGCATATTGATGTAGGTGCCCATGGAGTCCGGCGCCATTGCTTGCTCGGTACCAAGTGCTGAATGGGTAGGTGCCAATGACAGGACTGAGCCTGACAGCACCGGACCAGATGAAAGTCTGTACTCCATTTTTTGGGAGCCCGCTCAGAAGCCTCCACCTTCCTTAAGGGAAGCCAGCATCAAAGTGGAAGGGGCACTGGATCTGTCCACAGACAGATGTACGTGCGGGTGAGGGGAGAAGGGGTGTGTGTGCATGTGTGTGTGTTTGTCTGTCTGACCTGACTCAGATGCTGGTCAAAGTGAGCATTCCATCATTAACAATTTGAGCTTAATTTCCCTGTTCTTCCTTGCCCTAAGCTTGAAAGTTAGGCAGACATTGCATTTCTGGGAGACATGGGACTCCCCCAGACAACAGATATACTCAGAGTGGCCATCGCTTACAGGTATAGCCTCTCAACAGGCGAGACAGTGGTTAAAGCCCAGCAAGCCAAACATGCCATGCCAGAATGACATGACTCCCCAGGGGAAAAAAAAATTATCCTCTCGCTACTAACACTTATTAACTGACTATAAGTATGCTAAAAACTAGGTATGCTATCAAAACTTAACAAGCAACAACTATAAGTATACAAAACAGCTGAGGCACACTCAAGGTGGGCATGCTAGAGCTCCATCTCAGACTGAGGTGCTTGAGAAAGAACTGAAGGCAGTTTGCTTCCACATCTATATATAGACTCAGAGTCTGGCAGCAGAGCATGCCAACGGGCACTGCTGGCGGAAAACTCTCCAATCAAGAGCTCAAGAAGTGCATATACACCTGAAGTGAAGCACCCACAGAGACACTTCTAAAAGAATATGACTGTTAGGAGAAGCAAAACCAATAAATTAGGAAGGAAAGCAGATGGATTTTTTGGGTTACAGAACATGAGATCTTTTACAATTTTATATGCTTTCACTGCGATATATTATCATTTACGTCATGAGAGCAGATTATTCTACTCCTTGGCATCTATTCATGGGAAACTGAGATCTATTGGAAATTATTTTTCATGAAAATAATGAGCTCATGACAATTCAGCAACCTACTATAAACATTTGACAATACTGTATATTTTAGGTTTCCACTTTAAATACAGGCTCTATTGCTATTGGTGCTAGCATCTGTGGAGAAACATTGAGGATTACTGCTGTAAGAGATTACAAAAGAGCATTTCCAAAAAGCACACGGCAATATTTTTAAAATCCAACGTGAAACTAGACTAGACTCCTTTTCACTCCATCCATCACTTCACTTTTAATCTCCCTTTCAAGACAGGTAAGCCAAATACAGTATGAAAAGTTAGTGCATCCAGAATATTCAAATAATTTAAGAGTTAATATACACCCAATTATTACTGACAGCTCTTTTTCCTCATTGCAGTTACTGAAATTCCACTACTGTACCCATTCATATTGTGGCTTTCACAAAATAAGACAGCCTTTTTTGTATTAAATTTACAGCACCACCTATTTTGTTGTTCATTAACTATTCCAACCAATATTACAAAAACAAGAGTTTATTATACCAAGTATCTTTATGCTGGTTTCGTTTGTTGTTTTGGAGATACAGTTACTCTTTGTCTGGCTTTGGCGTATGTCAATATGTACAGATGGGCTTGATTTTCAGAAGACCAGAGCACACATAGCTCCTGTTGGCTTGAATACAGTTGAGTGTGCTCAGCATTTCTGAAAAATCAAGCCCTTAGTGTCCTTTTTTGGCACACACAACATTTGTTACCAATATCGGGGGGAAAAAAGGGCACTCAGTAATTTGTCAATTCACCATGGAACACCTTTTGATACCACTGATCATATGGCATTGCTGACACAGCCACAGAGCCTCACAGGGTTGGAAGGAGTCGTTATTGAGTGGCTCTGTTCATCTGTTACCGAGAGGAGCCAAAGGGTAGCATGGATGATTGCTCATCTACTTCCAGCATTCTCTAATGGGAGGGGTTCTATCTTGTCGTCACTTCCATGCATCTGTGAGGCCTTTGGAGGAAAGGTAGAGAGATGATTTGGGACTCAAGGTCTTCAATATTCAGTTGACATTCAGTTCTACATCTGCAAAAAGAAAAGGAGTGCTTGTGGCACCTTAGAGACTAACCAATTTATTTGAGCATAAGCTTTCGTGAGCTACAGCTCACTTCATCGGATGCAGTGATGAAGTGAGCTGTAGCTCACGAAAGCTTATGCTCAAATAAATTGGTTAGTCTCTAAGGTGCCACAAGCACTCCTTTTCTTTTTTGCAGATACAGACTAACACGGCTGCTACTCTGAAACAAGTTCTACATCTGTATTTCATCTGGCTTGGCTAGTGCAACTGATTAGCTTACCCAGTGTCCTGCCAGAATCAGGAAGTGGATAGGGCTGGCTGCAACTCAAAACCCCAGTTATGCTGATAGGCTGGGAAAAAACACCAAAGAAACTACAGAGTGGTATCAATGCCCTCAGCTGGAGAAGACTGCCCACATTCTTTTACTCAAGTTTCCAGTTGGGGAATCCTGATGGCTCTCCAGCTGATGCTGGAAGTTTATATAGCAGCAGAAGCCACAAGTAGTTTTTATTATTTATGCTTGACCAGTATGCTTCTTTTTCAGATATGGGCATTGCCACATTTGCTTTTGTCATCTCAGGAATGAATTCTAGCATGATCCTTTACACAGGGCTACACTCCAAGACAATTTGGAAATGTCACCTCGTGCAAAATTTGATGGCCCATTTGTTAAAGGGTGTTTCTTGCAGGAAGCACATGATACATCTGTGTTCTATGATCTGCATGGGCTTCCAATTCACTTTTAGGTGAAATGTAAGCTGTTGGCAGGGCCCTGGTAACCTCAGAGGCTACCTTTTCCTCCATATGATACCATAGCACAGAAGATCATCTTAAAATGCGAGTAGGTTGGAGGCATGGTAATTTCTATCTGGGGTATTCCACACTTGAATATACTTCCCTTGTCAATTAGCCAAAGACTGAATGTATTGATTTTCAGGTTACAGTGCAAGGTTCATTTTCTCTCTCAGACTTTTTGGTGGACTGGAGGCAGGAAGGAGGAAGAGAAGAATGATTAGATAGAGTTGGAGTGAGATGGAGTAAGTCCTAGTTTGAGGCTTCTGGGAGAATTTAGGTAACTGGTTCAAACTGTTTATAGTCTTCACAATGAGTGTGCTATGACCCTAGGGCACTGGATTGGCATATTTTAGGAAGAAAGAAAATAATATGACTAATTATCAAGTATTTTAAATTGAACTTTCAAACATCTGCTTATAGTCATGGAGTTGATAAACGGGAGACCTTTCCTCTACACTCTCCACACTAGTTTTCCATGGAGTGGAATGTTGTTCACAGTGTGTAAATACATATCGATACACTTATTAAGGTTGACAGGTATCAAAAAGCGTCCCTAAAGATTACATTTTCCTGTTTTTAAATGTTTCCTACAGATTATTTGGACTGAGAACTCCAAATTTCAGGTTGCGTCAATATTAAAACCTCAGGCCTTAGACTGTGACCTACCAAGAAACAGAAAATGCTAAGTTTGCTGGGATGGTAGATGTAAGGCTACAGTCACATTACAAGCAAGAGGTCTGATTCCCAGTTCAGGCTGACATAGCTCGATGAGAGCTCGAGCAAGTACAAATAGTAGCGTAGCTGTGGTAGCACAGACAACAGTGGCACAACTTAGCAATGCCAAGTACAAAACCACCTGAACCTGCGCTAGCTCTAGTGTGACTATGTGTACACCAGCTGGGAATCACACCCCTATCTCACAGTGTAGACATAGCCTAAGTGTGCATGCTACAGCACCCCTTAGCTTTTCCTACCAGCGCCAATCTTGTAAACAGACAAAGGATTGAAAGAGACAAGACACCTGCTCCTCAGGCAGCAAATAAATTCAAGAATGTCAAATGTTTCCTAAATTGACTTAAGTAAGGATGGTTTTACTGTCACAAAACCAAATATATTCTCCCCGTAAGTTCAAGCATGCAGAATTGACTCCTCAAAATTTCCATGTAGGAAAGGAAAGAAATTCAGAGGTAGTGGTATTCCAATATGGTGTTCTCAATGAGGTCCCTAAGTTCTGGAATTCACTTCCCAGAGTTTGAATCCTTATCCCGTGCCATTCATCATCGATCTGCTCAGGCTTTCCACCGATCACTTCGGGCATGTCTACAGCACAACTAGGAGGCGTAATTCCCAGCTCGAGTAGAGGTGCACATACTTGCTCTGTGGAGCTGGTGCACTAAAAGAGCAGTGCGGCAGGGATGGCACAGGCAGTGGCTCAAGCTAGCCGACGGAGAAGAAACCTAGGATCGCAGGCAATGTTATACTCAGGTGGCTAGCCTGAGTTGCTACCTGCACTGTCCTGGTCACACGGCTATTTTTAGTGCACTAGCTTGAGCAGCTAGTGCCTGTATATCTCCCAGCTGCTATGCAGACATAGCCTTAGTAGTAGGCAACAAATCTAGCTTATCCTGAATGGCATATGATCTGGTATGAAATTGATCAGCAAACTGTATATTTTGTTTTAAATCATGTCAGTGTGCTCATGAAATTTTAGTGGAATCGTTTTATACATTTGAAAAATCAAGTTTTAAAACATAGAGACTATTTAAACACAATACAGACTTACCTGTAAGCATTAATATAATTCTTTCTGTGTTGCAGAAGAAAATCTTTCAGTTTCCCAATATTAGTAATCTAAATAGGAAAGTAAAGTAAAAATGTTAACTCCACAATCAGCTAAAATGGATTTTTAATATATTTCTCTTTTCTGTTCCATTTTAAATGTACAAATATCAGTATGTCTTGTGCACTTGAACTATATACTAAACTACGACCTATTCTGTAATTCGAGACTATAATTATAAAGGCTACACAGAGCTCTAAGTTATTTATACAGATTCCCCGTTGCAATAAGATTCTCATTTTTATTATATATGTAGCCAATGCATAAAAATCGTATAAGGGAGAAAAGTTTAAGTGAGGGTCCAGCTTGAACAGAAAAAAGCACTGTATTCAAAAGGCGATTACGTGAAGTATATACTTAATCACTAAATGTAAACTGAATGTTGGCAGGCAATGATCAAGCACACATTTTAGAAAACAGGTTCCTTAAAAAAAAAGGATTTTTACAAAAAATAAAATACCAAATTATACATAAATGCTTTATAAAACAGAAAACTTGACCCAAAAATTTGAGTTCAATTGTAAGAACGAACCTCATAGCAGCTACATTACCCATGTCCACCAAAAAAGGGAAGCAAACTGATCAATATTATTTATCTGAATATTTTTACCTATTTTTGCAGTGACTGCTTTATTATCCAGACTGACTAATCCCTGCTCCACCTCAACCAAAAAACTTAAGCCTATCAAGTAACTCCTCACAACCATTTCATGATCAATTGCAGAATTTGAACATATCTGAGTGCATGTGCATGCAGAGGGGAAGCTGTTTTTCCACCCACCTCTCCATTTTACACTCCTCCTGTCATTAGTCCATACATTTTCCTCTATATTATCTTTACACTCTCCCAAAGATCACTTAAAGGGAACGATGAACAACCTTTTATGAGACTTCAATGCCTTTTAACAACTTTTAAGTCTGGGTTTAAAGAGGCTGGTACCATACAAGATGCAATTTGGCACAGAGAAAGGAAGAAGTCTCAGAAATACAGCCTTTGTTAGCCCAAGGAGGGAAATCCCCAATGTGATTCCCTTACTGAGCCTAAAATATGGCTCAGTATCTTTAAAAACATTTTTTACATGTACACAATGACTATGTAGAACAAAGAAAGTTTTCAAAGGAGAAACCAAAAATCTCTCTGAGGTATGTTAAAAAAATGGTATTAATTATTCAGTGTACAAAAATTTGCTAGGAATTTTACAGAGTACAGCAAATTATGTTGTTACAAATGCAGAATTATGACATTTGGTTGAAAATAAATATCAGGCCATGATGGGGTAGCTGGTGGCATGGCTACCTCTAAAAAATGCCCTATGACAAGGATGTCAAGGTGAATAAAGACCACCTTAAAATAAATCTTGTTGGAGCAGGTGGGCTCCAGTAGTCTCAGTAGGCAGCTCATTTACAAGGAAAACTCTGATTTCAAAGTTCCAAAGTTGTCAGCATTGGACAGCCAACCTGTAAAGCTTGTCCATTAGATACGCTCATGAGCACTGATGTCCATGACAAGTGTACCTCAGAGTTAGGGCATTCCCTGCAAGCAAAGTGCAACAGCCTTGCCTGGCTGTTGTAATTGGTTAAGGGATGCTAAAGTTAAAGGGAGTGAGTAAGCTGAAATATGCAAGCTGGAATGTAGAAATGCTGACTGGAAGAAGCTTGGAGCTTTGTGCGGTCTTAAAGAGGAAGAGAGTAAATGTGGCATGTGTACAAGAGACTTAATGGGAAGGTCAAACTTCAGACAAAATCCACTATTCAGGGAGTTCAACTTCCTGAAATGGTGTTGGAGTTTTTCTGGATGGAACCATCCAGAAACATGTGATAGAAGTTATCAGACAGTCAGACCAACTGATAAGCATTAAACTGAGTTGGGAAGAGGTAACTCTCCATATAGTCAGTGGGCACGCTCCACAGTTAGAAGAGGGTCAAAAGGTAAAAGAGGAGTTTTTTGATGAGGAGGTGTGTCTTACTGGAAACATATCACTCAACAAGAAGATAATCATGAGAGCAGAGGTAAATGCATGTGCTAGAACAGGCTGGATATGAAACAGTCCATGAGGGCATAGCACAAGAACCAGAAACCCCAGGGGTCCTACAGGCTTGTCTGGCACTGAACATGGCGATTACAAACACACTCCGGTTTTCTCTCCTCTGACTTATGCCAGTGTCTCACATTGATCTCTTTTTAACCAGAAGAGCTGTAATACGCGATGAGAGTACTGTGAATCAGCACAGACTACTTCTTATGGACTTCTGAGGATTCTGCATTCTGAAACATCTGAATCTCTGGGCATCGGAAAGGTCTAAGTGGGGGAAACAAAGATGGGAATGAAAAAAATCTTTAAACAGGAAGTAATGTGTAGATTTCCTGATTACACACAGGGATCTGAAAATGATAAGTGGTACAAACTAAAAACAATATTGCTGGAAATGGCACATGAAGTCCTAGGAGTGATGAAACCAATGTTCAAAGAAAACAAAGGGAGACATGGAGGTGGACTCTAAGTTAAATAATCTGTTGAGAAGAAAAAGGTAACTTTTAAAAAATGTCAGGCCAGTGGGCGTAAGCAGTGAGTGATCAGATGGAATGTATGGAGGCAAAAAAAAAAAAAAAAAGTTGTGAAAGTTAAAAATTTGGCCTGTGAAGAGCTAAATAACTGACTAGGTGGATATGAGGGAGAAAAAGCCATCTACAAACTTTCTAAGGCAAGAGAGAAAACGAAAAAGGATGTGAATGAGTTTACTTACATTAGAAATGAACATGGTATATTGCAAACAATGGTGAATCAAAGTTTGGGGCGATTATTTGGAGTGATCAATAAGGTAAACCTAAGGAAGGAACTGAGAACTGGGGTGTGATAGATTACATAGAGGAAGAAAAGGTTGCAGAGGCACTAAGAAAAATGAAAAAGGGGAAAGGCATCTGCATCAGATGAAGTACCGGTGGATGCGCTGAAGTCACTGGGAACAGAAGGCATCAAGTATTTTACAAGTCCATTCAATTATATTTTTAAAAGAGAGAAAATGCTGGATGAATGGGGTAAAAGCTTTATGGTGCCCATTTTTAAAAATACAAGCAATAATATTCTGTGTATTAACTGAGTGATAATTAAGCTGACATCCCATGCTACAAAAATATGGGAGATTATTGAAAAGTGCCTGAGTGAAACAGTTGAAATTTGGAAGTGTTAGTAAGGACTTATGCTGGGAAGGAATATAATTGATACCATGTTTGCTATTTGAATCCTCTTAGAGAAGTTCAGAGAAAACAGACAGCACTTGGACATGGTCTTGGTAGACTTGGAGAAGGCATATAATCATGTACCAAAAGAATTACTTTGGTGGAGTTTGCAACAGAGGTGTGTGCCAGAAGGGTATGTCCATCTTATCCAGGATGTGTGTGATGGTGTGACTACTGTAATCAAAACCAAATGGGGTACAGCAGAGAATTTCTAGTAAATGTTGTACTGCACATGGGGTTAGTATTGAGCCCTTTTTTATTTGTGGGTGTCTTGGAGGTGATAAGTGAAACTATATGAAGAGCTACCTTGAAATTTGTTGTTTGATGATGATCTACTGATATGTAAGGAAGATCGTGAGACTGTGTAAACCAACTCTGAACAGTGGCAACACAGTTTTGAGCAGGCCTGACTTAGACTGAACATTGGTAAGACTGAGGCTATGGTAACTGACAGAGGCAGACCATCAAAATAATATTACAGGTAGAGAGCTTAGAAGAGTGAAATAATGTAAATACCTAGGATCAATGGTTGCTGATAATGTGGCCCTCTTGACTGATGCCTGGTATTGTACTAAATCTTTTGGATCAAATGGTGGCAATGGACCCCAATTTACTGTGATAAAAAGATGCCAGTATAAAGGTTGAGTGTATAAAACTGCTATTGACCACAATCTAACATACAGAACAGAGATCTGGCCAGTCACAAGAAATCAAACCAGTATGTTCCACCAGGAAATGAAGATGTTGAAATGGTCAAACCGTAGGAAATGAAATGGTTGTGAAGGGTTTAATGAGGGTTGCTGCAATTGAAAACAAGTTGAGAGAGGCTAGGCTAGGCTACGCTGCTATGGACATGTGCAGTAGAGACCTAAGAGTTACATTGGTAGGATGGCCTTTGCAATGATTGTGGATGGAAGATGATAGAGGGAGAGGCCAAAGACATGGATCAGATATGAGCATACTTTAGAGAGACCAGGCTGCCATGAGTTTAGGAAGAAAGCTTGCTTATTTGTGTAACTATGTAAGTAATTTAGTTGTACCTCACTACACATAAAAACATGCATGTATTTTTTAAAAAAAACCTTACGCTCTCTACCCCCTTCCTTCTCCAATTGCCCCTTCTTACAATTCATAATTTTAGATAAGATTTTCCCCTAGTTTAATTTCTAAGGCTTTCCATGTAGTAAATAGAGGGCAAAATACTGGCCACACTGAAGTCAAAGGGAATTTTTGCTACTGGCTTCAATGGGGCTGGGTTTCACCCTGTTTATTATTAAAATGAGTTGTCAAAGGAGAAGTAACCTGGAGTAGTAACTTGGATAATAGGGCCCGAAGGGGAACCAGGCAAACTCTTCTACAAATGTGTGGGATTTCCAGGTGGTTTTCTTCTCATCTTTATTTGAATTTGTTTTCTGTATGCCCTCTTTTCCTTGCCTCCCACTCCATATGGTGTGACATGTATTTTATATATACAGTATATTCATTAGAACAAAATATAAAAACAAAATATATTCCCAAATTAGTATTTCTATACAGTGTCTGCACAGAAAAACATTACTGAACAGGCAGCAAGAAATTGTTTCAGAAAACAAAAAGTAGAAATGTAAAATAGTGACATATTTCACATTTAAATTAACATGTAAAAATAAACAGTAAAGTCAAAAAGAGGCAGATTAGCACAAATATATAAATCTCTCTCAGTGGCCAACATTACTGCATGATGAAAGTGTCCTTCCAAACTTTAGTTAGGAATGGTTCACATAAACAGAAGTC